CACCTAGAGCTGGGGTCTGTACAAAGTTTCTGCCTCTGCCGTCGCCAAGTGCTTGCTCATGGTGGTACTGTTGGGTCTCTGTGAATGTTATAAGGAGTAATAGCTTCACAATTTTACAATTGGAGAAATGTAAAATAAGAGAATGTAATATTTTTTGTTAAAGCCACAGGGAGCCACTGGACAGGGATAGGACAAATCTGAAGGTTTTACAAATCTGAATGAGGCAACAACAACGAGAGATGGCCGTGTCTTATCCCTTAAATTTCCCCTTAACTCCACAGTCGGAACATCCGAATAGGAAGCCAACTTGCTCTCGAGTGTCATATATAACTCTACTGTACATTTAGCGTGTTATATTCTAGTGGAATTAATTAGAACTCTCAATTCAGATTTTGCCGAGGAGCGTGAAGGCAGCATGATGTGCAGCATCATCGTCACCATAGCAACACGACGCTATGCGGCAGTAGAACCAGTTCACGACCCTTAGCCTTTTTACTAACGTTAAGTTAACGTACTTTCCAGCGTGATTACGCTGACATTTGTGCATTAGTGAACCGTAATTGTGATTTAAAGTATCCGCTGGCACCGCTGCGGGCGGAACGAATGCGCCAAATGCCTCTGCTAGTGACAGACTACTGCTGGACACAGACAGAGTCCACGGTCCACATCAGCGTGCCTTTGAAAGGAGCAAAAGTGGGGAAAGTGGACATCCTGTCTGCAGACGAATACCTGAAGGTACAGTTAATGACGATAAACCTCGCCCTTGATGGTGTCATACACCGTTTTATGTGTCTAGAGAACCAGGCTGTTACCGGACAGTGTTATTGTGAGTGAACCAAGGTTTATGGGCTACAACTACAGGATGCCGCCGCCACCCACTCCATCCCACTCTAACATATAAAATAATTCACTAACACATGGGATTCATTTTAGATATGCAAGTATTGCCTCCTGTTGGCCTCCATAATGTGGAGTCAATATTTGGTTTTTTTACACATTTTAATACATTTTAAAGTAATGAAATGAGTACAGATTGTATCTACCCACAGTACTTAAGCAACGATTTCTGCTTGGGTATAGTAACACCACTTGGACAAACCAACGCAGAACACCAGTACAGCGTACTAGTGGAACCAGTAGTAATAATAATAATAATAATAATAATAATACCATTACATTTGCTAATCATTACGGTGCGTGCACAACTTATTTTTTTAATTTATGTTCATATTACAGTACAACATTTATATGTTTTTGTATTTCTATCAATATATTGGGAGGACATTTTTTAGATTTATAACGTTTATTTATATTTATATTAGAGTTACTGTCTTGCTAAAGAAAAAGGATAAGGCTTGCATTAAATTAGGGCTGCACAATTAATCACATCATCGAAATCGCAATATGACCAAGTGCAATAAGCAAATCACAGAAGCTGCAATTTTTTGATAAAGGTCAAATATGTGACAAACAGCATAATAATGAAGAACCGTGATGCTGCAGAGATGGCCTACACAAAAAATGATAATTCCCCCACTAATCATGAATCATATCGCAGTATCTGTCAAAATAATCGCAATAAGATGTTTTTACCACATCAAATCTCTTGCTCTTGGTATCCTGTACAGGTGCATTTCCCGCCATATCTGTTTGAAGCCTTCCTGTTTGAACCTGTTGATGATGTCAGGAGCACAGCGAAGGTTGGGAACGGAGTCGCAGTCATCAGTTTACCAAAGAGGACCAACAAAGTGTGGGATCATCTGATGATAACTACAAGTAAGACCAAGTGCCTGCTCATGGTGGTACTGTTGGGTCTCTGTAAATGTTAAAAGGAGTTCGATTCTAGGACCTGCTCTATTGAAAAAGGTGTCTGAGATAACTTCTGTTATGAATGGTGCTATACAAATAAAACTGAATTGATGAAAAGTAAGCAGCATTTAGCTGCCCTTTCGCTTTTCGCTAAACCATCTTTTTCTTGCAAGTAGTTCAGTGTGTTCAGATGGCCAGTGAGCAAGTCTGCAACCAACTCAGGGTTGCTCAGTTCAACAACACTGTTTTTTCTTCTTTTAAAAAGAAACTGTTACAGTCTCAGAAACACTCCAGAAATGTCAGTCGACTGAGATTAGATTACGTCCTGTTATTGTACATCAGTTTCTGACAGGAAGCCTAACTCCCAGTGGTTAAAGTTGCATTAGGTAACTTTTATAAACT